TTAGCTCCCTGCTTACTTCTTTCATTCCTCTTTAAAATTGGATCACATGAAGAGCAGAAAGAAAAGAGATTGTTTCTCCTTTTTCCAGGAAAAAGAGAGAATATTTGGCAAGTTTTAATTTAGAACACTGTACCTCAGAAAGCTGAACGCAGCATCAGGATGTCTACTCTACTGAAGTTAAAAGCTGATAAACTTTGCTGCCTGTTTATTTGCCTTGACCAGCTAAGAGTGCCAAATGCCCCACGTTACATTGCCTTCACAGAACAGGTAGTTGGTCTCTTTTTTCTGATAGCTCCACAAAATGCCAGGATTCATTCCTTGGCCCTGTGTGTTCCCCTTGTCTCTGCTTGTCAAGGTCAATGTGTAAGCCCTTGACTGTCCTTCTTCCTCTATATGTGATCTTGTGCAACTTCTCCTTTCCTCTCCATGCTGGCAGGTTAGTAGCTGACAAACCCCCCTGATGAAGAGAACATGACTGTAGTCTCTTCTTGCTGTCTGTGCCAAAGACTGTTTAATGACTACGCTAATAAACCAGAAAGACTGTCATCTTGTCTTTGTCCTTCTTCTTCTTCTTCTTCTTCCTTGTCCTCTTCCTCTTCCTCTTTCTCTTCCTCTTCCTTGTCTTCTCAATACTAAAAGAGTCTATGTTTTCTAATCTCTGACTGGAAATTAGTATTTCAGTGTTTTCCTAGGATCCGAAGTATGTGTAATGATCTACTAAATGAGACCCACAATCTGTCAACTCACGATTGGTCTTTCAAATTATGTCATTCTTATTATCATCTTGTGTTTCTCTATATCCCCTTAGACATTGACAAAATCTTGTCAAAAAACTCCTTGTAACTCAAAAACTGCAGGAAACCAATGCAAGGTACCTCATGAAGACTTACCGTGGGCACAATATGCGCTTTCTGAGAGACTGCATGTCCCAGGATTAGAAACTTCTGTTTCTACTCTGTTTTTATAGACTAATAGGCATTGCAAAAGACAGAACAGAATTTTATAGTCATTGTTCTTTTAATTTGATTTTAATCTGTGGAATTCCAAAGGATTTTGAAAATTGATATTATTCTTGATTTCTCAGTTTAACTGTTTGATTTTCTTATTGAACCCTAACTGGATACATCAAGCCTCTGATAACAAAAATTTGTGCAGCAGACAAGAAACATTAAGATAATGATAATGATTATAAGCTAGTTTTTAGAGAGAATTTCACAAAATAGCTAAGACAATCCAAGCCCATGTCTAATACTGAAAGCACCATGCAAGCATCAAAACAGAAAACCTTACTAATGTTACATCTGCTTGTTAATTGCACGAAGGCAGGCTTCCAAATGGTCTGTCAAAAGATCTCCAAGTGATTATTTTGTCTTTTTATGCTCATAAGCATTGAATTTCAAGTATGAGAAAAGTTAAATATCTGAAATTTTTCTTGCTATAGACTTCTTCCTTCCTACGTATACTTCAAGAGTCTCTCAACCTTGCAGATGGTTTCTATTAAATACTAATGGTGGTATCATTAACATTTTCCAATTAAACAGTCCGAAGAAAAACATCATCCTTTGAAGGCCTTTTAAAAATCTCAATAAAATTACTCTATGTAACTGGGTGAGAGGTTGTTTATTCCTTTTGATGGTATCCTCCAGGCAATAGTTGAAAACAATATATGTTGAAATAGTGCTGGCTTACTGCAGTTGTCTAGTCATGGTACCAGTACAGGAAATTTCTGAATTACTTTATCTGCTTGGAAAGAAGAGAAATTCCGTAGACTAACCTATTTTATACTATTCCCTTTAAAATTCAGAAGATTACCAGATCTAACAAAAACTTTCCAGCACACAGTTTTTGTGGATTTTCATGATGAAGTTTGTTTTTATTCTAAAAAAAGAGAACAGGAAATATAGATTGAAAATGAGCTATAAAATTCAGTACTTGCCCATTGATATAAAATTCAGTCACTCTGAATCACATTATTTTTTATGTGTTATTATTTTTTACTTGGGTGACAATGTAAATTGAAACAGTACTTCCAAATTAATTAAAAACCAGCCCTCTGATAAGAAGCTGACAATGTAATTTGGATAGGTGGTAAAGAAGCAGCACACAGTTAAAGAAAAGTTATAGAACAGAACCCAGTAGCAGAAAATTCCTTACAAGAAACGTTTTTGAAGGAAAGAGAAATTTAAAGGGACAGGAACGACTGCAAGTGAAATCAAGTAATAGATGGCATCTTAGATTCAGTTTGATGTGGAACAGCATATCTACGCCATATTATATAGTATTTGAAGAGTAATTGCACTTTGCACTTCAAGATTTAAAGTGTTCCTGATAAAAGCCAAATCTGACTGCTTTGAGGGGAAAGTACAGAATCTGATTGATCTGGAGAAAATCAGACATTAATCTGGGGGAAGGTATAGTTTGTGGTTAAAATATGGGAATCTGAGATCAGGTGTTGAACCAAACAAAACTGGAATTTAAGTTGTAAAAGACAGTACTGGAAGAAAAGAACAAGGGTAGGAACAGGAGGAGAAGAGTGTAGATAGGGAATTGAGAGGAGGATGAAGAGTAAGGAATACAGGTGAAAAGAAAACAAAGATGCTATTTTTAATAGGACTTGAGAATAAGTTATATATTGTAAACATAAGAACTGAACCCTTTATCTGCTGTTGAAGTACACCCACTTGGATGCTTCTTTGCTGCCTTTGCATTTTGTATCCATATGTTACATGTGCTGTGATCCAAAGTTATAAGTGGGCACGCAGTTATGCCTGCTTTACCCCGGGAATTTCTTTTATGCAGAAAGATTTTGTTTAGACTAGCTTTCTGCCCAGTCTTGGAGCAGAGCAAGATAATTTGAACATCAATTTGACCTGGCACGTCTCTTGAGAGAATCATCAGAGCACCTGGTAAAGCAAGAGATGTCTCTTGTCTTGTGTTTGCCAACACACGTGTAGCAAAGCACACCCCTCTCCTTCTGCCACCACCACAAAAGCAGAAGTTCAGGTAAGGCAAGCGAGGGCAACTAACTGTGCCAACATCATTAAGTGAAAAAAAAAACAGTGATCTTCTGGCCGAGAGCCAAAGGGCTTGTGAGGGAATGGGGATTAAAAACCCATATGCTTGCTCAGCCTGAGTGGTTTGACTGGCATGGAGGCAAGACAACAAGCTCGTCCCCTAGGAAGAGAGGACAAGACATCCAGCAAAGCAGCCAAAGGGTCGTTTGGCATTTCAGAGAGGGGATAAAGGGGCAGTGTAATGGCCCAGTAAATTTGACGGGAGGTCAGAGCCAGGAATCCTGATTGCCCATTGCAGCTCTCTCTTGGGTTTACTCTATGGCTGGAGGCTGGTGTTTCCACCTTTTTGTCTCCTTGTCTTCACATCAGCAAAATGTGAATGATGATATTAATAGCTTTTGCAGGTATTTTCTGATGCTTAATTTAGTAACATTTTTGAAAAATGCAAAGGCACTTGGAAACATTACACACTTTTAACCCCCTTGTTTGTACATTAGAAAGCCTCATGTGTACAACCGTTACATTCAGTGTCCAGATGGCAAGTTTAGACTGTAATTAATTTTATAAAGCCAGCAGCCTGAGCATTTCCAAGCAATACACAGAACAAAAGCATTAAGCCTGCCCTATACATTCCTTGGAACTGCTCCCTGAAGTCCTTCAAGCTCCTTTGTGTGCAGATGGATAGACAGAGAGAGAGAGACAGATATTTGCAGACACAAGGGAAAGACCATGAGAGAGACTTTGTACTGTGTACATATATATAGTGTCTAATAATGTAATCTTGCTTTAGTAACAGCAAATGACCACTCTTAAATGCCCTGGCTTAAAGTTCTTCAGTGTGCTTACATTCAGGAGAGGGATGGACTAAGTCAAGGAGGAGTGCGTGCCTCTGAGTGTATTTATTGCCAAAACATGTGGGGTACACGAGGCAGCGGGGCAGGGAGTGAGGTGGAGCACACTTGTGTGGCCACTGTTGCTATGATACAAGGTTCTTTTTTACTTTCTTTTTCCTTCCTGCCGCCCTTTGCTTTTCCCCTTCCCTGCACCCCTCTTTTTTTTTTTTAATTTTTTTGCCTGTTGCTCTGTCTGAGCCTGGAGGAGCTGGAGGAAAGTGATGCCGATGAGGGGCTTGTAGAACTCACTTCGCAGGGGAGGACTCTGTGTGTGGGTTAGTGACTCGCTAATGGGGCATACGAATACCCAAGGGTCATGTCTCATTGCCATGGCAAGCCAGATTTCTTCACATTAGCTGGGTGCATTCATGTCAAGGAAGAGGCTTTCAGTTTTAATGTACCCTAAACTTTCTTTCTCCACCACACTGGACTTGGTTGCTCTGAAAGCTGTTCCCCAGGCTTTCTCAATCTAACTATCTACAATTCATCAGGCACCCTAAGCTGCAAGTTTTTCAGGGTGTTGTTTTGGTTACAGGTTCTTAACTGCTGCTCATCTCCTGCTGATATTGCACAAAACCTGCCAAAAGCCTTCTTTTGTAGATAGAAATGAATCTGGATTAGTTTCCAGACATTCTGTCAAGAAGTTGTACAGCACATAAGCTCCAAAAAGCAAGGTTTTTTCCATGACCATTTCTGTACAGGCATTTGTCTACTTTTATCCACATATGGTTTGTTTTTCTGAAAAAATTCAAGTAATTCAAATGTTCATTTCAAATGAACGTGCTTAACAGCCAGGAATAGTTGCTTTGTTTTACACATGGCTTCTAGTGCTTCAGTATGGCTGGACACTTCTCTTTTCTATTGCTTGTCATGAAGAGTAATCAGAAAGAGAAATAAGCATGACTAGCATTTTTTATTTAATTTTAAAATGATTTCCTGTCTAAATGAAGGTGTTCATATAGTTGCTATTTAAATCAATATGCTCATATGCTGATTTAAACAGTAATGTTAATGTTAGTAGAATAATATTTCAACCCCACACTGCTCACTAATCTGCAACATCCAACATCTTTGTCTCCTCTTTTCTCCCCAGCACTGCAGTGATAACACCCACCATTGCCAATCAGATATGAATATAGTAGGTGCTTGGAAGAGAGGTTACACTGGAAAGAACGTTGTGGTCACCATCCTGGATGACGGCATCGAAAGAAACCACCCAGACCTGATGCAGAATTATGTGAGTGTCCAAACAAGTCTAGAGGTGCTGCTTTATTATTACCCTGAATAAATTTGCTGCTCCTGGAAAGATGGAGGGAAGGAGGAAGAATCATACGAGGGATCACTTCAAGTGTTAACACCAAAGGGAGGCAGGAAGACAGCTTTGGGTAATCTGTATTGGTTTAGTTAAGACTATGTTCCATCTGAACATATTTAGTATCTGTATGCCTCTGGTAGCTGAGTCCTGAATTTCTGAAGGACTGGAACCAATCATCAGCTGCTTTTTCTTTTTTCTGTAGTTATTTTACTTAATATCCTCACGCTCTCCGAAGTGCAATACACTGCTTTTCAGTTACTGTGTGCAGTTGAAGTCCATTTTCAACCAATACATTTAGGTAGCAAGACAGTAGCTTTTCTCAAAGACTAATTTTAGGCCTATCCTTCCATATATCTATTTTTAAAGTTATTTATCTTACTCCTAGAAATAATATTAAAGGAAAAGGACATGACTTGTTATGATTCATTTAGTTAAAAACAGGTGTAGAATATTTTGGGGTCTTTCTAATAAATCCGTTATAACTCCAGTGAGTCCCCTCACAATTTGTAATACAACTATGTCCTTTGTTTTCTGTGTCCTATGTCTCATATCACATCCGGAGGTTTCTGTTTGCATCACATTTAATGTTCATCACATTTAAAAGATTGGTTTAATGTACCTTGGAGGGTTGTACAATGTGAGGAGGAGCTCCTTCTCTAGTGGGTGACTTCTTGTGTTAGTGTCAGATTTTGAAGCTGTTCAGAGCATCAGGGCCACGCTCTGCTGGAGTGATTAGTCCTGTGCTTTGGGAGCAGGCATTGCCTGAAAGCACATGAGCTCGAGGACCTTATCGTTTGTCTGAAGTAAAGTGTGCAAGGTGTACATTCATACGCGGTAGGAAAACAAACAAATATATTTGGATTGAGACGGACTGCTGAAGATGACCAGCACACAGCATGCATATACCTTTATTCCCATTACAGATGTAGATCTTGTAAAAGACCCCTGAACATGGGCTTTGTGCCAGTGAGCATGTTGTCTTGAAAGAACGTGGAAGAGATGAAGGTGGCAAAACCATCTTTAACAACCCATCAAAAGCTATAATCGTTTCCACAGTTTAAAGCCGTTTATTTTAAATTAGCCATACTTACATCCATATCCTTCACCATGTTGTATGTGGAAGTCAGCTTTGAAATACACAAGGAGGACTGCACAAACTCAAGTGACAGGAAATTGCTGTATTTGTCAGTGCATGCTTGGTCCTGATGCATGCCACATCTTTCATTTTAATCTCTTAAGTTGTTTAAACAAACCCAATATAATTTTACCTCTTCAGTGAATGAGCTGAATTGTATCATATGTCACCTCATCCCAGTACTGTCCTTCCACAGAATTTAAAGCAGCTATTTATTCCCTTACCACCTCCTCTCTCCCTTTCCTCACGCCAACAAGGAATTCCCCCAAAGCAGTATACATTGCTTGTTTGATGACAAATGTGTTCTATATGTCAGATTATTACTGGTGTGGCTGCAAACAGGAATATTTGAGGTGGATGTGGTAACTGGTTTTGAACAAAGAAGAGATTAAAAAGAGCTGCTTGCCATGTCAACACACCACATGCTACTGCATCGATTAATGGGAGCCATAAAAACCAGTAGCTATTTACTCTATAAACTATTTTCAGCTGGTAAAGGTAAAATATGGAACAAAAATAAAGAGATACCTTGCAAATATTTGAAACAGTTACACTCCCAGGGAAATGGGAATGCAGTTTACTTTGCATTTCAGGCTGTATTTTTGTAGTAATATTCTTAAGAAAATAATATTATTCTTATTCCTTGAAACTATGACTGAAATTTCAGTCATCATGGTGGAGATAATTTCTTGACTCTTGAAACATTTAGCAAAATACCAATTTTGAGAATGAACTCACTTGCAAAAGTTTCTTAGAAGAAATGTGGTCTTCTGGTTAAATGAAACACCACTTTCTATTTCCTCTCTGACACTGGCACTATGCTTTTTCAGAGCATTTGTTATTCTTCTCCCTTTTCCAAAAATAAAATAAAATATGTAAATCCCATAAGTATTAAATATATAATCCTTTCCTAAAACATGCAATCACCATAAAACCACAGGAATGTTAGTTAACCTAATTACTCTCTTGTAGGAACCTGCTGAAGAATGTATAGGCCACATGAGTCAATGGCTAATTAATGAGAAATTGGTTTTCTTTCTCCTGTTGGCTACAGGATTCACAGGCCAGTTTTGATGTCAATGGAAATGATTTTGACCCTATGCCTCGATACGATGCCAGCAACGAGAACAAGTAAGGCACTATGACATTCATGACGTTTCCAGTCTAGTTCGTCAAGTAGAAAGTACCAGTTCTATGAAATTCTAGGAGATTTGAATCCTCATAAAGCGGAGTGATTTGCATTTAAATCTTTGTAAAATATGTATTTATGACTCTTCCATGCACGCTGCATGACACTCTCTGAAAGCATTTGGAGCCATCTGAAAACAGATAAAAATTAGCGTGAGAGATCTGGGCCTGTGAAATGAACAATTTGCAATGCCTTTGGGATGCAGAATGTAAGGAGTGACTCTTACGTTTCTCAGATACCATCTCATTGATTTATTGGGGGGTTATTATGTGTGACAACTGTCTTGGCTTCTGACTCTTGAACCTTATAGACTTTGTGCATTGAAGAAATAGTCAAGTTTTTTCTATAATAATGTCTTTTAAAGTGATAGAGATTTTACTCATGGAGGTTTGATAGAAACCTTGTAAACCCAGAAGTGGCAATTCTGCCAGATTATATCATCTGTGTCACATGACTGGTTGGATATATCTCTGTGAACGACATGTTTCTCCTTCAGAGCTTTGCTTCCTTATATTTGTGCTGTGGTAAAGACTGGGGGAGATGCTGGGAAGGACACCTCACCTCAGGAAGCAGGCCACCTTTCTGCCCCCACGGGTATTTGAGGGCAGTTATGTGTTAGTAACATTTTTTTAACTAGGTACTTGGTAGAAAGAAATACCTTTCTGTGGAATTGCATGAATTAGAGAAAGGAGAATCCTACTAGTTGTCAACATGCTGACTGTGCATTTTGTTTTCTGGAGGTTTGGGGCTTTTTCTTATTGTGGAAAGCATTTAGTATTGTTTGCCTGCAGAAAGGTGAAACTTCGTCCTTTACACAACTGAAATGCTTTGGGGTTTGTGTTGTCTCTTCCCTACAATCCCACAAACTTTCTCCAGAAGAATGCAGCAGGTGCGAGCTGGGAGTCAGCAGCAAAACTTAACATTGGTTTGACTGGAGAAAGCAATTGGAGCAACCTTGGATCACACCTGGACAGGAGAATCCTCTCCTGGTCAACACCTTCTTCATAACAGCAGGGCACCATGTATGGACAGGCTGAAGAACAGGGCCTCGTTACGCATAGCTGCCTGTTACTTATAGATCCTCTCACCTCACAGTGAATCTCAAGGAGCTGTCATAGCTACTTTCAGCCATAGGGTGAAATAACTGTGAAAACTGAGGTGAATTCTGCCAAATACTTGTTTGGTCAGTCAGCCTGATCCTGCCTGGTAGGCCAAGATGAGACATATGTAAGGGTTTTGCTCTTAGAAGCTTTATAAATACATGTGCATACACACATCTTGGTTGTGATGACTAGAAATACTGTTTAACATAGAAATATATTATGTTGGTATTAATTTGAATAATAGTAATAGTTTATTTATTTGGGACTGCAATCTTGGCATGTGTTTTCATTCAGTTGTTCTTATTTGATGCTGTTTACATGCTGCCAAATCTTTTATTTAGAAACAAGTACATGCAAGAGCTGTTTCTTTCCCTTTTGCCCGTCAGGCATATTTTTCTCATCCTATTTTCATACAGAAGCTTAGTTTACTGAATTGTATCTGCCTCTTCTTCGCTAGAAATCTCCTAAAGCAAGAATACCACGTGAGAATAAAAAGATAAATTCAGTAAAACCCTTTGTTTCAAGATATGTAAACATTCTGCACGTGCAGGCTACTTTAAGTTTAAACAAAAAGAAAACACCGATGTGGAACAACTGGTAGATAGCCCTGGTTGCTGCATTGCCTCAGTTAGGTTAGTGACAAGCCGAGGATTTCAGAGCTGGATACTTGTGTGGAAAATGCAAATACTACACCAAAGGTTTTAGGAGGTATTCTCAAGACACATGTTCATTGAAACACAAGAATGAATAAAAGTCTATCAATTCTTACTCTTTCCAAAACCTTCTATTTTTTCTTACAATTGAGGAATTTCATGTGTCGTTATCTCAGTTTTAAAGGTGTCCTGTCACTGGTGTAAAAAGGTCAGAATCAGCAAATGTGCTATTAATTTTTAGTGGCTAATATGAGAAATCTTTGGTTTGGCTTATGAGAGGTCTCAGGACTACAAGCAAGGTTTATAAACATGCTAGTTACCTGAAAACCACTAGGAACATAGGAACATGAATTGTTTACAACTCAGATTATGTAGGCATTGCCACTCAGCGTGCTGCAACAACTAGTTTGTATGACTGACCACTTCAGCATCAGCCCTAGTTTTGAACTACATGTCTATGTTATAGCCCAGAACAAAGTGTTGGAAGAGCAAGACAGTGGCTGCATGATCATCACCAAAGGGCGGTCACCCCTACTTCTTACTTCATGTTTGCCCTTTCCTCTTTTCCCAGCCTTTGTGCAGGTCTCCAGAGTGAATCACACTGAAAACTGTGCTGCCAGCAACAGCGAAAACAAATTGCATTTTCAGCCAGGTCGGGCAGGTACCTCATTCACTCAGCCTCAGGTCAGAGGAGAGCAAGACAGGCACAAGTGAGGACAACAAAGCATGGCCTGAACCTCTCACTGGCAATGCCAGTTTCAGTGAACTAAGGTGACTGTATGACAATGCCCCAAGTGCCTATGACTGTTGTCCACAAAACTGTGATTGACAGGCGGTTGCTAACAGTGGCCTCCAAGAAGTTTTGAGAAAAGATGTGATGGTCAGCCTGGCCCTCTGTGAATACTGCTCAGCTCAGCTGCCAGTTTATATCACAGCGCATCCCTCTCTCCTGCTGTCCACCACTCCCCATCCCCACACACACTTCAGAGACACATCCTGGCTCAACTGTGTGAAGATGCTCCCGTCCTTGGAGTTGGGGCATGGCAAGGGTACTTGGAGGCCTCCTAGTTTAGGTGCACTTTCAGGGGTTCACCCTCTTTGGTGCTGTGAGGAGCCACATACCTCCAGCTCTGAATCACAGCCGAATCATGTTCTTTGGCTGGGTACCATCACTTTCTTACAAAGCATGTCCGGAGAAGGATGGGTGCTTTCTGTTTGGTTGCTAGTTAGAGTTCTATATGGGATATAAAACTGTACCGATTAATTTCTCTTCTAGGGCTGCAGGATTTGGGTTTTTGTACCCTACCTTCCAGGTGAATACCCTCACAGCCTAACCCCTAAGGTCCTGCAGTGAGTTGTGGTGGTGGGAGGGCCAATACTGTGCTGTACTGAGCTTCATCACTGTTACCAGGAGGTACAGCATCAGTGTAGAGTCAGCTTTTGGACACAGAGGATACATGAAGCATGCTTTCAGTGTAAGATTACTTGGCAGCCCAACCTCTGCTTAGAGGCTCAGTATTTCCAATTAGTGGATACACTGAACTGGGTAAGCGGCACCTAAGCACCTTCAACTTTTGGCGATGTCACCTTTCCTTCCATAGTTCCCACTGGACTCAACAAGAATTAAATGACTACATAGGTACTGAAAAGCACTACTAGTAGCCTATGTATATTTTTATATCATTTATATCTTCAGAAATCAGGGCAGGAATTCTGATTATCCAGCATATGTGGTTGTTTGGCACTAGATACTCACGTTGTGCCTGGCGGTTGAGGTAACCACAACCAGGGAACATTCTGAACACCATGCTTTGCAAAGACTTCATAATGTGTAAGATCAATTTGGTTGATTCCTGCTTCCTGCTATAGCAACTGGACAACATTGCGTAATGGTGATTTGTGTCTTCCAGTAAAGGTGGGATGTACAAATGTGCCATCGTTTCATGAAATGATCTAGTTTATTCTGCCTCATTTTGTAACCCAAACTTAAGGGATGGAATGATAAAGAGTAAAAAGAATTGCTGTAAAAATAAGTAGATGTCTCTGGGCAGCTTTGCATGCAGCTGTGAAACATCAGGGTACTGGGTCTGTTCACTGGCTTTTCACTTTTAATTAGTAGTGAAGGCTTTCTGTTGCTGAGGCTTATTGGTGAGGAAAAGAAATGAGAAAAAATTAACTGGGGGTTTGTGAAGCAACTGTAGATAACCAGAGTGGCACTTTCAAAAATTATATTTATGAAGTTTTACAATAAATCTTCTATTAGTTAAGGAGAATAGGAGAGTAGAAAGAAACATGAGACTAATCTTTCAAGGCTTGTAGTCAAAATCAGGGTGGGACGATAGTTTCTTTAACTACTATGGTATGTAGGAGTCCTGCCAGAAGTTTACTTTGGTTTCTACAAATTGGCAGCAAATCGTGAAGCTTGTAAATGGTACAGGCCTATACTAGAGCTTCCTTTTGCTCAGAGGCTAAAGACAACAGTCAGCTGTGGATGAAGTC